TTTCAGTACAAATCGGCAATTTCATACTTTAACCCCTATTACTATAATTAGGAATGATCTGCAGCCGCGGATCATCCACATATTTTTAAAATCTGTATTCGCATCCGGCATCCATCCGAATCAATCGATACAGAGTTTTTGCGGATATGGATGTTTTGCAGATCACAACAACTTATCGGGAGCATGCCCTACTCAAAGCGCCTGCCGAATGCTAGTGCTAAATAGCTAATCAGGGATCGAGAATTTGGTAGCGCAGCGTGTAGTGCAGGCAACTACAAGCTTCGGAAGCACTACATGTTTGTTTTCTAAAAAAAATTATTAAATTAACATTGACTAGGTACTTTAATTAAAAAACTTTGATAAATGTCCTAACATTTGTATGCTTTCTGTTTTTCATCTCTTTTGTAATAAAATTACTATCTTTTATTTAAATTAACGATAATTCAATGATTACCAAATGCACACTGATCCATATTTATCCTGAAAACAAAAACACACAAAGCTTTTTTCACACATCCGCATCTGCAAATTTCAACGATGAAAAATTCTACGATCCTGACACACAATAATTAAAATAAAACGATCACAAAAATACTAATTATTATACTGATTGTCCATTTAAAAATGCCAAAGTAACGAAATTTACTTCGGAAGCACTAATAAGAACATTCAGATCAGAACCAATATAGAAAATAAATTATCTACATATACATTCGACGACCTCCTTGGTCGACTGGCTAGCACACACCGGTTTGCATGGTCTCGCCATATACACACAAGTGTTTTAGTCACTTAGTTTGGGATCAGAGCAACGTATGTGATATTATCTAATAGTTTTTATATTTATATTTACATATGGTTTCTAAACTGGCGCTGCCAGTACGCGAATCCCGTACTGACCACATGTTCGTTAGGGTAAAAAATCGTTATTTATTCGTGATTTTGTAATTTCAGATTTTGCGTCTCTTAATCTGGATCAAGATGTTGTCATCAACATCAACCATCTAAACATAAGAGCGGACGTAACCCCAGGTAAAAAGCTTAGGTCTCAAATTCCACGCCCTATCTTTAGGTCCAGGAAACATTCGATTGATCCATAACACGCGTTCACCATTTGACTATAAATAAGCGTTGTATGTAACAGATGCGACTAGTCTGTATAATTACTTTTTTATTCCTTCCCTTAACAGGTATTCTAAGTCACAATTTCTCCTTTATTTTTTTTTATTATGAGTACCTATTTGTACGGTTCCTATTTGACTGTTAATTAGTTTAACTGTTTATCTGTGGAAAATTGTAAATAGCCATCTATATTTATTATGGTAACTATTTATAGTATACTTAGTTGTTGCTTTCCTTAAAAATGTAAAAATAAAATAAAAAATATCTGGAGACTATGTACAGGCGAAACTCAAAGCTTCAGTGGCCATTATTATCGCCCAAGAATGAGTTTAGCAATTCAAAAATGAAACGTTTAACAGCCTCTGTGCAATACGCCCCAGAGTTAAGCACTCGATGACATTTTCGACTTTGATCGAGGGCTATTTTATATGTATAGTAGTAGGTATATAGGTAGTGGGACTATTTTAATTGAATAATTGTTATGTTATTTTCGGACTCTATTAAATAAGGCACAATTATAATTGCAGTTCAATATAAAAGAAATTTACATAATTCAAAAGTGTATTATTTCCTACGTCATTGTAAATCCTTCATAAATGAAGTTGTACCATTTATGACGATTAGGTTCTTTAAATATACTTTTATTGCAGATCCGTGCGATGCAGTGAGTTGCCCAGTGAGGACAAACGCCTGGAGCTCGTTTACCAGCGTCATGTCGGTACCTTCTCAAATGGCTCTTGTAAGTATATGAATATATTGGATGTAAGGCAAAGGTCCAAACATATTCTAGCTGGTGATCGCACTCATGATACAATACCCATAAGTTCATAATTAAAAAAAAAATACAAATTGATAGATCAACTCCAGGCCTAGACTATCTTCAAAGTTTTATTATCGTTATACATGTTGTGTGCCAGCATTTTAGGCACCCTGACAAGTGGACCCAAATTTATCTATGAATTCTAAACCTAGTCCAGTATTTAAGCTTTAATGTATGTTATGTTAGCTCTTTGTATCTTTATAAATAAAGCGTTACCCTTAGTTATGAAGCATTATATAAATTTGCGAAACAGATATTTTTATTTTTACAAATTACTTTTTTGTTACTGCAGTTGCTTGTTATTTATGACACATCTTTAATTTGCAATTTGACTAGTACACGTACAAGCGTACGTGTGCTTGCCTTACTGCGCGGTCAATATGAACATAAACAAATAAAGTAAATTGTATGAAAAAGACACTTGCTAGCAGTCCTGTAGTAGTGTAGTGAGGCCCTGACTTTTTTCCGTTCATTACAGGCAGGAAATATTCGAGGAAGGTTTCTTATTGTTTTTTGTCAGCAATTAGAAGTGTCATTTTATTTTAGAATCAGCGAGGCTTTCTTCGATGGCGAGTATACAATGAAAGAGGGACACTTGTTATATGTTATTCGGTATTGGTGCAAACTCAAAGTCCTGTACAGAAGATGCTTTGGCAAGCCCTCTCGGATATGACCTCTGAGACTATTGATAATACAGTCAACAACCTAGATCCAGACACACCAAATGTAAATGTCAGTCGGAACTACTTGCGCGAATTGTTCGACCGATATTACGAAAAACAAAGCTTTGGCGAACTCGACAAATAAAATGTTTTTGAACTGGCCATTACGACTTTGAAACCATAGAAATGTATTTCAAAGTTTTGTGATTAACAATGAAATATACCTATACTCGTAAGACATTGTGTAAATTCAATATTTACAAGGACCATTTATTTATGTCAACATCGATCGATCTCGAAGTTTAAATTCTGTGACATCAGGAAAAATACATTCACACTACGTGCGCCATGTGCAGTGTATTGTTGTAAATTTAATGCAAAACATGCAAATTAGTATGATGAATGATTGTTGTGCATGTGTAGCGTTGTAAAACTCATCGGTAGTAGGTATTGTTTAAATTATTGCACTTTTGCTCTTATTGTGTGATGAAATTTTTTATTTTATTTCAATATTTGTAGTTATGTCCAATCAAATACTATTTTATGGATCTATTTTTGAGCAAATATAAATATAAGGGGATCTCTAGCATTCTGTCTGTCTAATTTGTAGTTTCCTTTTCAAAAAGTAGTTGTACATAAAATTTTATGCACTCTGTTGTTACGTACATTGCTATAAAATTTGATTAAGAAAAAATATTGCAAAAATGCGAGAAAACATTTAAGGTCTAATTAATGTTTGTTAAATTTGAAATTTGAAGAAATATACAGTTAACATACTTATAAAATAAAATTGCTTGTGTAACGTTTCAACATATAAATTAATTAAATTATTTTTTTATCGTTTGTTCTAAATATTTACCAATCTCTAGAATCACTTGGCAGTTAATCACAAAGAGTCGTTACGATTATCTACAACACATTTTGCTTTATGCGTCAAAGTAATTCGCGCTACTGCTTTGTTTACACTTGGCTACTTGAGCATGGTTTATGATTTGTGTTGGACGCGCCGACGACGAGTCGACTTTATAACGTATAGCCTGAATGAGCAGCGGTCAGAACAGGAAAGTACTCGGCTGAGCATAACACTGCACTGGCTGACAGACGCAAACATGGTTTCACTACGTGTAGTTGTGTGCTTTGCCCTCTTCGCTCTCGCGACTGCCGCCCCAAAACTGGAACAATGCCCTGGTAAGTCACACAACTACAATATTTTTGTGCAATATTTCAATTCAAAAACTGTGCTGAATCTTCATGCAACTTTACGCAAGCTGACCGCTCGACCTGCTTTCATCTGAGTGTAACTTCAGAATGTCGTTTACTATGTTTGCAACTAAGACATTCGTATTGTCAAGCATTGATAATAAAAAAACGATAATTGTGTAAATCGATTAACTAACAACGTAGTCATGAACTAGTATACGTGTACAGGAACCAGTAAATTATTATCCATGCTAATCACTGTCTTTACAATACATTCCAAAGTATTCTTTATTCAACTTGATGCCCGTGTTGTGATTGCTAGTGTTTGGTTCACCTTCAACTTTAAAATATATTTATTTGAAATGTAAGATCATGTTGTAAATAGAGTTTTATTATTCACTATTCGTCATCAATTCTAACATATCGCTTTGGTACACCTTTCCAGAGATAAAGGTATACAAGCGGTCACTTTATTTAAACTGTTAACAAGTTAGATTAAAAGGCAAATATTAACAATATTTTTGGCGTATAAAAAAAGGGATTTCATTATTAATACAAAGATGTAGAAAAAAATCCTTCTATCCGGCTGATAACAAACAGTGAGTATGAGATTTTCCTTGTACGGTTTTGCATAAAAAATAAGTTCTAATAAGAACAAGACGTGTGTTGATTTTCTATCTTTAGATTTGGCTCACCGACTACACAATTCTTATTCAAAACTTCACTTATCATTTATACAATTATACATATTTTGTGTGAATTATAGATTTGTGCAAAAGCATGTAAATATAAATTAAATACAATTTTTGTTCCATCTTAGCTTTGACAACACAGCAATGAAATGAACTAAATTTAAATTAAGGATACGGACGATAGCATATCAAGCTATGTATTGAAGAATCTTGTTCCGTTGCTCTGGAGGCGATATTCGAACAAAATTGTACAACATGATGTGCTATCGACTGTACAAAGTATCTGAACTCACCAATGAAAGGTTAATAATAAGTATATATAGGTACGAAGGTAACCTACCTACGTTTTTCGCATGTACTGTAGTTATTAATAACCTAACCTCAGTACAGAGCACTAAAAAACCGACCTCAAAAGTCATTCATCCTCTAGTTTACCACCTCAGAGGTCGAATATTTTCTTCAAATTAAAAATGGGACCACTTCTGAGGTACCCTTTTTCCAACAAAAAAAGAATCATCAAAATCGGTTCACTAATGATGGAGTTATCGCGTAACATATATATAAAAAAAATATTGTCGACTTGAGAACCTCCTCCTTTTTTTAAAGTCAGTTAAAAATAGCGATCGTGAAGAGACTTTGCTACAAGGCGTTAAACAAAACCAACACAGACTACAAGGTGCTTCAGAATGAGTTAAATTGTAAACATTTTTTTATATTAGTTGTACTGATCCTCCTACTAAGTATAGTTCTCTTATTATTCCTTCCGAATACTTTACCGTCCGCACGCAGTTTCTCCAGATTTTGACAAAATCATCCACGAAAGTATAGATAAAATGAAAAGAGGAGATAAACTTTTGTTTAATTGACCGTTTTGTACAAAATTCAACATTGTGTGTCGTTTACTATAAAAACGGTCTAACTCATTATATGCATCTAAGCATAACATTGTTCTGGTCTTGACTGTACAAAAAATTGCTAAATATTATATAGCACTATTATAGAACTTACTTTATTCCATTCATTAACAAATTCATGTTCTAATTTTAGTTATCCGTGATTTTTATGTAACCTTTCTCGCAATTTAATAATGAAATCCAAGTAGGAGTTTGTATGAGTTACAACAAAAGCTGCAAGTTTAAATGTACCTTTGTTTTGACCACAAGGAATTTATTTAAGACCTTTAGTAACTATTATATATGTATTAGTTTTTCTTAACGAACATTTATTTATATTTAAAAATATTTACAACGACATGGAAACAATCAAAAATATTCTGTAATAAAGTAAATTTATAAGAGTAATTTTTAATCCCAAAAGTCACTTATTATAATGAAGATAGCACTTTAAAGAGACTTATTCCGTATTGTAAGAACGCTTATCAAAGATTTTTACACATCAGACACAAACCAAAAAATTAAATTTTAAAAAATGTTTACAGAATATTATTTCTCAACTGTTTGGTCTATAGCATGTCTATGTATAATTTGTAATTAATTATGGTATTAACCGACTTTAAAAAAGGAGGAGTTTCTCAATTCGACTGTGTTTGTTTGTGTGTGTGTGTGTGTGTGTGTGTGTGTGTGTGTGTGT